TTTGCTTCCTTCAGTGTGAATTTGCTGTAAAGATAAGGAAGATGGAGTTGTCCCTGAAAAATGTTCAGAAACATGGCATGTAGGATTCCGACCTGAATGGAACATAGATAATAAATCTTGCATTAAGTCCATTGCTTCCCTTAACTGAGGGCCAGGTCTCACTTCTAATGTCCTCAGTGGACTTGACTCTGAGCAGCTGAAATAGTAGCTCCCTTCCTGCAATCCTGCCTATGAGCTGGTCCTACCCAGGACCAGCTTTTATTTGACGCTTATAGTGCTTGCGTTGTCAGCAGACAAAAGGATGCCAAGCTTTCCATAGCAAAGTCAATAGATTTAACATGTCTTATATGTACTGCCACTGCCATGTTAAGATGACGTGTGCCACTCTGGCATCCCTTGCGAATGAAGAACAAATTTGACAGAGAAATAGAATCTAGTAAGAGGACTAAATCCAGTAGGAAAGATAAAGAGATCAGTACATGAGATGGAAACATAATGGTCAAGATGTTGCTTGGTGTGGTAAAGGGCACTACAGTAGGCCAAGTGAATCTGTGAAATTAGGTGAGTAAACTCCATCACTTCCACTGATTCAGTGGACTACCATAGTGCACTTTACTCTCTGCCTTTAAAAAAAAAACCAAAAAAACCTGGAAAGGTTGGTGTAAATTGGAATCAATCTGATGGCGTGAATATTAGAAGGAAGGTGCCAGACAACAAAGGTGCTAAAGGCCCACAAAGCTTTTATTTGACGCTTATAGTGCTCGCGTTGTCAGCAGGCAAAAGGATGCCAAGCTTTCCATAGCAAAGGGCGGCCTGAATGTTGACAACATCAGTGGCAGCAGTCAAGATATTCTGCAGGATGTCCTCTTCACCCAAAGAGACACCACACAAGGGAAAATCCCAGAAGCGTACTTTTTCATCAGTTAACCACTTGTCAACCAAACACAAAGCAATTGTCAGGACTGGACTGTTTTTCAACAAGTGTGAATGGTGCAGCAATAATCTATTTACGTAGCATCTATGAATAAAACTAATGGCCTTCTGGAGTATGGTCTGTGAGACTAATGGGACTGCCAAAGTGAGGCTTTGATATGGCTAATTTTACCTATAGCAAGCCCAGCATGTTTATCAAGAATTTTTGTATTTTGGAAAGGCACAAGAGAATGGCGCACTACCCTCCGGTACACCTCACTATCACTGGATAGATAAAATTGTGAGACACTTTTCTAAAAGCTGAGTGTACCAGAATTACAAACTAGTCTGCCACAGGGCTCTGAAAAGAAGCATCGTGCCTATATTTCAATTATTAGTTAGATTTCTATAAATGGAGAAGTCACAAAGTGGTGTCCAAAACACTCAACAAGAGCATATAGAAAAATAAAGTCTCTGTAGAAAAATGATAAAACCAGAAAGCAAAATAGATTATAAGGCTTGCTCATGGCAAAGAAAAAACATTTTGTGGGTTTCACAAGTAACATAGAAATGCTATTTTACCAAAGGAAAAAAAAAGGTTTTAAATAGAAAAAGAGACACAATTCCATTTCAGATTCAGCTGGAAATACAAGATTTGATTGCTACACAGACCCCACACAAAACAAACAAACAAAAATGTAAAGAGTTCTTGTTCCCCAAGATTGGATAGGCATTGATCTATCCATCGTCTGTTTGATCTGACCTTTATCACTGCCCAACTTGAACTGATAGGAACTATTCGTTTCAAAATCTCAAAGTCAAGAATAGGCAACTGCAGGCCTTGAGATGTTTTGGCCTACGAATCCTGTAACATTTCACCCACCACTTGATAGGGCTAATGGGATCATAAGAAATAATTGTCCTAAAACACTGGGGACCTTTAGCCATCCGCCCTAAAGAGACAGGATAGCTCAAGCCGTTATCCTCTTGTATTCTTGGCATATGACTAAATCTGGTTGCAGACTCCACTTCCTTGCCATTCCCAGCCTCCCTTCAAGCTTCCAATTAGTAGTGAGAATTGTTATTCGGTCCTGTGAATAAAAACACAGGAGTTAGCTGTGTAAAAGGAAAGCAGTAGGTCAGCTTTAGAGACAGCCAAGCTACTGCCCTAAATTAGAACTATTTCCAACAAGCACAAATCAAGATCCTTTGATACAACAGACAACATGGATCAGAGCAGCATGGTTTTTTTTATACATGTGTGTGTGTGTGTGTGTCTTTTCCCTTGAATTGCACAGATCAGAGCAGCATGGTTTTGTTATACATGTGTATGTGTGTGTGTGTGTGTGTGTTTTCAATAAATGAACAGTTCAAATCTCAAATAATCAATAAATACTGTACAGTATTTGTCTCCAGAAAGTGGCCTGAGAAAGGTGGGTCTCAGCTTACATAGTGCTGTTGTAGGGAGTGTGGCAGCTCACAATCTGATGGCGCAGCTCGACTGTCCCCCTCTCTTGTCATGCCCCTTCTATGTGGTGGCTGACGAGGGGGCTGGAGCATGCCGGGAAGCTGAAACAGGTCAGGAAGAAGGGTGTGTGTGTGTGTGAGAGAGAATCAACTCCTTATGCTTTGTAGTTACATTTAAGGGGCATAAGAGTTATACATGGATTTTGAACTACTCCAGTGTTGTTGAAGGGAGAAGTGTACTTTGTAAGGATATGTCCCTTTGCAGCTGCTTGTATAGCTCAATGAACTGGATACTGTACCTTGTTGCATATAAATGGTTCAGTTTGATTCCAAATCGTGCCTCCTATGAGAAGAGTGAGTCTCTGTAGACTTGCGAAAGGCAGGACTGGATAAATCCCAAACTGGAATTAAGATTGCCGGAAGAAATATCAACAATCTCCGATATGCAGATGATACCACTCTGATGGCAGAAAGTGAGAAGGAATTAAAGAACTTCGTAATGAGGGTGAAAGAGAGCGCAAAAAACGGTCTTGAGAGTCCCCTGGAGTGCAAAGAGAACAAACCTATCCATTTTGAGGGAAATCAACCCTGAGTGCTCACTGGACGGACAGATCCTGAAGCTGAGGCTCTAATACTTGGCCATCTCCTGAGAAGAGAACACTCCTTGGAAAAGACCCTGAGGTTGGGAAAGTGTGAAGGGAGGAGGAGAAGGCGACGACAGAGGATGAGATGGTTGGACAGTGTCATCAAAGCTACCAGCATGAATTTGACCAAACTTCGGGAGGCAGTGGAAGATAGGAGGGCCTGGTGTGCTCTGGTTCATGGCGTCACGAAGAATCCAACATGATTTAACGACTAAACAACAATTGTAGACTTGGGCAAGCTGCATAATCCCAGTGCACCAACAGAAGAAATCATTTCTGAATATTTCACATTTAGAAAACCCTGGAAACAGTCACCATGTCACCATAAATTAGAATCAACTTGATAATGTGTAATTATTATTCTTAATTGATTGTATTCTTCTACTGCTGGATAAAGGTGGAGGTTTTTATGTTGGCTGTTTTTATCTACTCTTGTTTTTCTAGCTGCCTGTTTTATGCAAATTGTAACTCATTAATTTATTCCATTGTTGCAATACTCATTTATCCCACCACTGCAGAAAAGTAGAATGAAGAAATGACGGTATTTCCACAAATGAAACAATGTGATGATAAGAAATAATTCTATAGCAGCCTTTGTTACATCAATGCGTTTATTGCCTTACGGATTGAACCTTTTTGTATACAGATATTTACATCCATCTAGGAGGGGAAAAAAAGTTGTACATTCATTTTTAAGTTCACAGCAGCAGTTCCTTCTCGGAAATAAAATTATTCAGGAAGACAGGCAGATTTTAAAGGAACTTGCACATTTTTTCCATTCACAAATACTCCAGTAAGTAAAGCATGCTGGCAGCTAACTCAGGATTTTGTCTTGTTCACAGCATTAAATGAGTGAAACCCATAACCTCCCTCTTTGACCTCTTAAAATGGAAGGCTAAAAAGCTAGTGCCCAGGTAGAGTCTGCAACTGATTTTTTTTAAGTTTGGCACTTACTCTTCAAACATGCAAGCGTTCCCTCCCCCCCGCACCTCGTAAGTGGGAACACGGGCGCAAGAGAAAAAGGGCCACAGCAAGCCAAAGAAGACAAGTCAAAGACAGCTGTGCTACAAACTTAAAACTGGTTTCAAATCTCTTGCAGTTCCTAATCAAAGAACAATCTGAACTGTAGTTTAATTTGAACTACACAGTTTCCAAACTGAAGATGCCAAGATTACATGGGAGGGAAACCATAAAGGCAAAGCCAGTTCAAAACGAAGTCATACAGGCGGTTTAATTACCTACTTCTATGCGCCACGGGACAGCACATACAGTGATAATGGGCATAACATGCACCTTCAACACTGCAGTTAAATGCAGATTGCAGAAATACCAAGCAATGCCACTATGGAAACTGGGTAGTTTTTAAAGGTCCTAACTTAAAATTGATGAATCAGAGGGAATATACGAGGCTATAGCTGCAACTTTACTCTGTAATAGCGAAAATCAAACAATTGCTAAAGGAGCCTGAGCAGCGTTGGATTTTTTTTTTCCCCTGAGGCAGAACAGCAACCTTTTAAGAAAAGGGAAAAAGAGTGGATATGTTTTAAACAACCTGACCAAACTACTTTTCACTTTAAACAAATATAAGATGGACAAACTCTCAGGTGTACAGATTTCCTCTCAGCTAAGTCATCCCGCTCCATGTTATAAAACAGGCATCTACACACATCATAAGCTATTTCTCTTTTTGTAACACACTTTTATTTCTCTGAGCTGAAGGCCGACACTCAGAGAGGTCTGTATACATAAGGAGAGAATAAAGCCCCACTGAAGCTGAACTCCTGTCATCTATTTTGAGGAAAGTTCATGAAGGCACTAGTGTGTTCCTAATCTGAATAAAAATTTGATTCTATCCATCTTCATCTCTAGTGGGCTCTCTGTAGCAAACCTGGACAACAAAATTAAATGTTTCAACATTACAAAAACTGCTCTTTGTGAACTGTGTACAACGAGTGCTGAATTGCTGACTTACAGTACATTCTTATTCATGGAAGCATTAGGCTAAACCTTTGTGTTGAATATTCAGAGACTTATTATGCCTTCATATAACTTATTTATACTATAGTTGCATTATATACTGGAGACCTGTATCATCCAATAAAGAATTGTCTGTCAGTGTACAAACTACGACGTTTTATTTGCCCTGAGGACTGCTCCTCACTGCAAATGTATCTGATTAAATGGGCTGCAGGTGGCAAAAGCTTATGCTGAATAAAATTTGTTAGCCTTTTAAGATGCCACTAGGACTCCTTGTTTTTGATACAACGGATGAACGTGGATGCCCCTCTACTAATGTGCAGGATCCAGCTAGAAGATTAGTAACACTCTGTTGCTAATCAACATAGCAGTTCTCCAGAAGAAAGAAGTTACCTTTTAAGACTCCATAGAGGTCACCAGTTACAACATGCATTTTACCTCTGAAAACAACATCTCTCTAGTGATGCAAACATCTGCATTTATGAGTCTTTCAGCTCTTCACAAAGAGGCTCGTTTGCTGCATAGTACGAAAGTTTCAAAAAGTGCAGCTTCTCCTGGCTCAATACAGCAAGAAACACCACCTGTCAAATAGCAACTAAGGCACAGCTTCCTGCTAGACTACAGGGTGGTTTTAAATACTGCAAACTCCACATGGAGATTTACATAAATAAATAAATAAATAAAACTATGTTTCTGGATGCACTTTACTGGCAGCCATATTTCATAATTCCTTGCGTGGAAACACGGCAAGCTACTGGGTGACTCCACAGATAACATGCTGTCAAATGTTGCACCTGCTGAGTGATATGCTGGCAGAGATAACTTGCCTTTCAGTAGCAGCCATGTGGAAGCTGTATCTCATTGACCTACTAAATCTTTTAAGATTTTCTTCACTAATTTTTGTCCAAACAGAAGAAAGCAAAGATACTAAGGAAAAACAATTTTGCATAGTATTCAACATTTGAAAGACAGTTCTGCAATTTTAATTCTACTACCGTGCTTCTTTTCTTACAGTGTGACTGAATAGTGACTACTTTATTTGCATCAATTAGTCTGAAGAGGGGCTCATAGAGAACCATAATCAAATACAGCTACTAATAAACTGATCAGTTCTCTGTTGCAATGGTTCCCAGCCTTGGGTCCCCAGATGTTCTTGGGACTACAACACTCAAGAAATCCTGATCAGCACAGGGGAAGGCTTCTAGGAGTCCAGGAACATCTGGAGACCCAAGGGTGGAGACTATCGTGCTAGACCATTAAGTGTTCGTTCACCATGTTTGCATTGTCTCCTGTCTTAATTCTGCTTTCCCAGGGAAAAATGTATCCCACTATTTGCTAGTAAATGGCATTACTAAGCTTTTGTGGAAGGATCACTTTGCCTAGGTTTTGATACTGCGCTTGCCACTCTGAACAAGAAGCAAGACATGAAAGAAATTACAGAAGTTATTTCTGTAAGTTTTAACTCCATTTTGCGCAAAAGCGTCCTGAGTTAAATTGAAGCAACTGGAATTAGGGAACAGGGGAGCAAGCAGTTAGATAGGAAGGAAATTACACAATGAGGATTGTGGCGTCAAGTATGTCTTAGGTGAGGCATCCCAACTGCTCCAGAAAACAACACCTTGGAAATTGAGCTAGCACCTTTGATCCAGAGGATTCAAGTAACATTAAGAGATATGCAAAACTGATTTATAAGAATGCACTAGGAAAGTCTTCTGAATACAATGGTGTAAAGGATATAAATGGGATGCAAGATAACTGCAGGATTAGTAACAACAACAGGCCTAAGAATTATATTTTAGAAGCTGTGGAAGAGGCAGTAAGAGAATGAGATCAATCATTTTTTGCCAAGAAAAGAGGCCACACACTCCCCCCCCCCAAAGATGTGGTCAAAAGCTGGTTAAGAGACAGAAGAGCCAACTGGAAGAAAGCAGGCTTAAAGCATTGTTTGGTTCTTCAGAACAAGCACAGACTATTGGAATGATCTGTGCAGGCTAAGAGGGGCCCAAAGCTTCTCCTTCTGCACATTCTGTCCTCTTTGCTCCTTGTCTCATTCTCCTGAAAGGAGTAAGAAGCTCCTACCCACAGGGAAACTTAATGACTGCCCTGAAGGTCATCTCACTCAAATAACATCTAGACTGGGGATGGGGGGGAAAAAAGATTTTGGAAGACAAAGGCAGTAAGTAGATACTGGAACAAGAGATAATAAACGTACAGAATTGGGCTTTGTGAAACACAGAGCAACAAAGCAAAGGGTAAGATGCTAAGCTCTCTAAAACCTTGAGCACCTTTATAAATGCTGTGCCTGAAGCAAAATGAGAGAGGAAATCAAATTAAGAGTATGTATAACTTCAGGATGGAAAAAGCAGGAAGACAGCAAGGATATATGAGTTCTGTCTAATATAAAAACATTTGGGCTGGATATGGAAATGAATACACTACAAAAGGGGACAGTCTACTACACTTAAGCACAAGTAATATGAAAGAGCAAGAGATTCAAAACAGACATGGAATCTACCCTTCAAAAGAAGGAAAAAATGGAAAAGAATTTTTAAAATATATATTTGAATGAAAGGAAACTTTCTGGACTATGGAGCTGAGTGCCTATATGTGGGGAGAACAGCTACAGAGAATAAGTCAGGCATACATGATACTTTTTAGATCCACTCATGAAATTCCATGAGAATTATTTTTGAAAAGAATTTTGAGGGGAAAGACCAGCAAAAGCCAAATGTGAAAGGACAAACATGGGCTAGAATTAGAACATTAGAATATTCCATGTTCATAGAGCAAGGAAAATATAGTTTCATAATTTTTATCTTCCAGAGCTTGGGAAAAAAAATTGGGGGGGGGGATGGCATTCCAGAAATCCTTTTAATTCTTTTCCCAGACTAGCTGGGAAATATCGGGAGCTGCCATACAAAGAGCTTTCTAAGATCTGTTTTTGCTTTTAACATAGCATGACAATTAATGATCAGGTGGAAGATGAGAGCTCAGAAAAGTTAGTTGTCGGCCTGCAACCACCAACGCTGCTTAAGGATTCTGGAAGCTGATGTCAAGAAGGAAAACTATTCAGAACTCTGGGAAAGAAAGGACAAAATTCAATACAGGCATCTTCTGTACACCATCCATACTCAATGTGAAATTATGCTGAGCATAATAAATTCTTGCACAACTTTTCTTTATTTTTTCTTCTTTATGATGGACTTTGGTTCCATTTGTTAAACAGCTCTTTCTCCTATTTGTTTAAGTGTGTAACAGGATTTCAGCCACCATTTAAAGGCCAGAGAACACTAGGGATGCTATTATTCCTTCTCTTGCACAAAGGTCTTCCATTTCCAACTGCAATCTTATGACCGCCAATGTTTATCAGCTGAGCCTTTTGGAGGGCTAAGAAATGTGGACAACCCCCCCAGCCCCACCCCTCACGGGAGCCATTTCAATGAATAATTCTCCAAAGAAGCCAGACTTTTCAGACATTTCTACAAGGCTGATCAGGATCAGTACGGCTTTTCTTTTCTTTGAACTCCTTCTTGCTGCTACCTCTTCTGGTGAGAAAAATGGCAGCAGGACACACCTGCAGCCAACTGGTAAAAGACATTAACCCTCAAAAATGTCAGGAAACCTCCTCCTCATTTTGTTCCCCCACAAATAAGGTAGAGCATCGTGCTCAGCACATACATGATGTTGAAAGCATGAAGAAAAGAATTACTGAGACACATGCAATGCAATCTTCATCACCAGAAGTTGATCAGATTATTTTAGAAAAATGCACAACAGTTTACAAAATGTAACATATAGGCCACTTGTACTGCTGGCAGAAGGGAAATGGCACAGCCACTGCTAATAAGCTGTTCCCCACTTGGATCCCTAATCATGCTCCACTGGCACACAATGAGCAATCTGAGAAGGGAAGTGTTTACCAGTAGGCAATCTGATGCTGCGAGTTATGCCCCTTACCTTCTGCCAGCACAAGCAGGGCAACAAGATTTTGCCCACAGATTCTGTTTTCACAGGAGCATCCTGATTCAACACAGACTTTAAAAATGATTTTCAACTCATGACTGGAATTGCAAACATTCACTACATTCCTAGACATATTATAGGGGCAGTATCCACTACTGGAGAGCTATACACAGAGGGCACTATGATATAGTGCTGCAACATTTTTCGTGGCAGAAAATCTTGGATATGTGCATTGTTAGATCACCTTACAAGGTTACAGGGATTACTAAATAATAAGGGAGAAATTGCGAGTGGTACTGATTTTCCAAAAATTATTATGCATGCTTCTCAGTAGTCTTACACATGCTTTTCTGGAACAGTCCAACTAGCATTAGAGAAGTATCATTCAGGACCTAGAAACAATCAGGAAAACCTTTGTTGCTACCATAAATGGCTGATCTGTGGTTACCATCAAATGTGGGAAATCAGCACGTAAAAACCATTTCAGTAACACTGCCTGTTCTTTTTCAAGTGACACTATGCAAATCAAATTCATTTCCTTTACTACCCTGGCAGAAAAATGAAAGGGAATGAAAAATGACAAATTGGATTTGTTCCAGCATACAGCAAGATGCCATTGACTTAGAAAAACTACATATTTAGTTACATTCATTGTTTGCTGGTGGCATGGAGGGCGTAAACAGGTAAAGTTAGGTTAAGAACATAGGTTTCATAAATACTGCAGAAAAAGCCAAATTCTGCCTTTAATCATAAATAAAGACCAACTGAAGAGCAAAAGCCTCCAAATGTCTTTTTTATGCAGATCACCAACTTCCCTTTCCATTCACTTTTTGCTCAAGAGATGGTTGTGGACGCCAGGTGGCGGTGTAGCTCAACTCCAGAGCACTTTATTCTGCCAAGCCATGCACACTATGAAGAGAGAAATGGGGTGCAAGCAAGCTAATACCTAAAGCCATGCCTCTTTTTTTCACAAGTTCTTCATTCTCCTACCAAGGCTTTAAAGCATGCTTTCCCAAAGATTTCAAATTACTAGCATTTCGCATTGAAGCACCAAAGTCACTGGGAAACTCTTGTTTCTTTCGTAGCCACGTTGCATCTCTCATGCCTTTTGGCTGGATTGGTCTGAACTATATCTTGATAGTTGTTCCATATCTAAGTATCACCATTTTGCAAAGTGTGAGTTCCTGCAGAATTAGATTAGCTGTTTCTTTATAGACAACAATGTCCTTGGCCAAATGCTGGTCCAAACGAAGGGGCAACTAGCTCACAATGCTCTTGCCTCTGAGGTCCATCATCACTTCTTCCATCTGGTCATTTTAGAAGGGGGAGAAGTGCTACCACACCATAATATCCCATAGCAACAGACAGGGTACCACACACAGCTCTTATTGCTGTTGATGTTACTGCCTAAGATCAATGAGGTCAGTGTGCAAGATGAACAAGCAAGACATTCTCCCCCCGAATAAAAATCTGGTTAATGTGCCGTGTGAAAACCTGCTGATAATCCACTTTGGGCCTCTGCTTTTTCCGTGACCGACCCCTGGTCCCAGCTGCATTCTTCCCCTCTGTTTGGGAAATTCGACCAAGCCTGTCAGCCTCCTTCCCGGAGGTTCGGGGCACACTAGAACTTCGTGTCCTCTCTCTGCTAGACTGCCTTTTCGCTCCACGCTCTTCTTCTGGTCTTCGACCGCTTGATTGAGATCTCCGACCAAGCGACCTGGGGTTGCACGGCAGATCGGCCATCTTCAGATCCGTTCCTTTTTTAAACAAGGACTCTTGCAGCTTGAGTCTGTCAAACAGCTGGAGGAAAAGGATTGGGAAACAAAGGTAAAAGGTACTTTAAACTGGAGCGGAAAATTCATTCTGCACTCTCAGCGGTTTAGAACCTCAATATTTAGCGGAACAGGTCTGAGAAAGCAGCTACCCATCCCCCATGCGGCTCATAATGTTTGATGTTAAGAACTGTAACACCCAGGGAAGCCAAAACATTAATAATTAATAAATAAATACTTATAATAATAAAACACACAAAAGGAACTGAGCTTTCTTGGTCGTGGCCCCATCCCTCTGGAACAAGCTTCCTATACAGGTTCTCTAGGCCACTGGTTCTTAACCTTTGTTACTCAGATGTTTTTGGACTGCAACTCCACATCCCTCTGGAACAAACTTCCTATACAGGTTCTCTAGGCGCCATCTCCCTGTATTCAGAAAGCTAATTAAGGCCACGTTATACCAACCTGCCTTCTACTAGTGTAAATACTGTCCTCAGGTGTTCAGAGGGGTTTTATCTTGTGTATTTATTTAAATTAGCTCCAGCTAGTGATAGGGTTTAATTGCTTTTGGGGGGGGGGTTCTATTATATTTGGTGTTCTGTTTTCACTGCATACTGTAAACAGCACAGAGAGCGGCAACACTAATGGGGTAATACAGAACTGGAAATAAAACAAACCAACAAACAGCAGCAGAAACCCAGTGACCCTCCCAATGTTGTTGGACTCCCAGTTCTCATTGGCACCACCTATCTTGGTCAATGATGAGGAACAATAGTCCTGATTTTATTTTATTCATTTAAAATATTTTTATCCTGCTTTTCTCCTTAAAAGGACCCAAGCCGGCTTACACAATTAAAAAAAACAGTATTTTAACTCCCTGGTGTGTGAATTCACAGCAAGTGAATGTGCATCTCCAGCGCTCTGCTGCCGTACTGTCAGGTGCAGGTCTGGCTCCCATATAGGGCAAAAGACGCTCTAGCTGCCTGGAAAATGCGGTGCTGGCAGCAGCTCCACTGGGCTTACAAAGCCTCTTTGTGCCCCAAACAATGGGGCACTGTGGAGATTTGGTAGACCCCTGAAAATCTGTTACCCCGTGAGCTTGGGATGTCCCTTTTACAGAAATATTGTGCCTGGTGGTTATGTCAGCCCTCAAAAACAACAGAGAACTATCTTCACAGGTTTTGCCCCCACCGTGTTATTCACCAGCAAAGAATCATCTTGCGGTTGGCAATTGGGGAAGAAGGAACCAGGACCAAACAGAGCACAAGAAAACGTAGGGATGTCAATGGAACGAACAGCCACCGCCGCCTGAGAGAAGCGGATTTCTCCCCTCAGCCTCTTCCTTGAACCTTGGTTCTTCATCCCACTTCACGAAATTCAAAGGAGGGAGGGTATGACAGACAGCACTGGCGTCTGCCCTCTCTTGGGTTCAGCCTATCACAACTGTGGCTGGGAGTTGAACAGTGTCATGACAGGAGTTGTTGTGGAGCAGTGGTGCCCAACCTCGGGTCCACAGATGTTCTTAGACTAAAACTCCTAGAAGCCTGCACCACTAGTTGTGCTGGCCAGGATTTCTGGGAGCTGTAGTCCAAGAACACCTGGGGACCCAAGGATGGGAACCATTGTCGTGGAAGGCTGGTAGGAGGGCAAGGATGGGGAGTTAAGTGGTGTGATGTAAAGGCAAAGGGAGGTTGCTCTAGGTGGAGCTGGCTCTGGAAAGTGTCAAGAAACTTCAGCAGGTCCAAAATGCAGCAGCCAGATTGCTGACTGGGGCTGGTTACAGGGGACACATACCCCCCCACCCCCGGTTACAGCAGCTCCACTGGCGACACATACCCCCCCATCCCCGGTTACAGCAGCTCCACTGGCTGTCAATTTGTAACCAAGCACAATTCAAATTGCTGGTTTTAAGCTATAAAGCCCTAAACGGCCTGGGCCCAAGATATCACAAAGACCATATCTCCCATTATGAGCCATTTCAGGTGTTCAGGTTTACTTTAATTATATCCTGTAAGTTCCAGGTAACATTAATCCCTAAATATTTAATAACATTTCCCATTTTCCTTCAAATATTGTTTTCATTCTTCTTTTCTCCTCATCCAAGTGGTTTAATAATAAACATTCTGACTTTCCCCAATTTACTTTTAATCCCGTTATATCCTCAAATTACTCCAAATGTGACTTAAGCCTTTCTGTTTTTCTATTGAATTTTTAACTATTAATAATATATCATCAGCAAACAAGTTTATCTTACCATTTTATGTTCTATCCCTACAATATTATTATCTCTAATTATCTGTGCCAATAATTATATTACCAATGTAAATAATACTGGAGATAAGGGGCAACTTTGTCTTTTACCTCGGCCTAGATGTATTGTCTGTTATTCCATCATTAACTATTACTCTAGCTGTATTCTGTAAATATAGTTGGTGAATTATCTGCCTAAAATTAGGTCCAAATCGTAAATATTTAATTAATAGCTTTAACATATCCCATTCCATCCCCATAAAATTATTTAATCTATTGGGCGATAATACTCCGGCTTTAGAATTAGTTTCTTTAACTCAATGCATTAAATTAAGTACCCTTCTCATTATATCTGACATTTGTCTACCTTATACAAATCCATTTTGATCTTTTTCAATATAACTCCCCATAAAATTATTTAATCAAATAAATTTGACAGCAGAGTTCAGGGAAAGGCTAGAAGAGATGCAACTGGAACAGAAACCAGATGTCTGACAGTCAACTAACCAAGCACAGGGTATGCCATGCTCAAGCCTTGAAAATAAATGTTTGACTGTTTTGAGTTTTAATCGTTAATGGAGCCCATTTGGTCAGGGGGAACCCAAAATCAGAAGCAAAAGAATGACTACTTACCCTGGTGAGAGTCAACTGTGGCTCCACATAGAAAGCTTTACCTAGCACAGGCTTCCGGTAAGTCTCATCAACATCTGTCAGGGCCTAAAGAAAGGAAGAGAACAGCAAGTTTTGAGCCATGCTGCAACCATAAAAAGTGTATTTTGTCAAAACACCCGGACCCAGAAGAGAAGACAAGAATTGGCATTATGTCGCACATGCTCACAGGAATACACTTCTCTCTTGAATTCGATGGGTCTGAGCAGCATGGTTTTTGTTATACACATTTTTAAAACAAACAAATCTAGTACACCCAGAACCCCATGAATTCACTACTGAAGGCATCAAAGTTGTCTGCTTGCCTCCAAACACAATATGTCTAATTCAGACTCTAATCAGGGGGTCATAAGGACCTTTAAGGATCACTGCACATGGTACTGTATAGAAAGGACCGTCAGTGCTATGGAAGAGAACACTGACAGAAAGAATTGGAGTGTGTGTGAATTAATTGTTTATGATTCACAGTTATGTTTTTGGGGGGCATAAGAGTTACACACAGATTAATCTAAATGCCCTAATCCCAGCATTGTTGAAGGGAGAAGTGCAGTTATGTCAGTAATGTAATCTCTGTTCTCATTGAGAGAGGTCTTTAAAAAGGGATGGGAGAAGCATAACTTATTATCTAGCTATTTGGCTATTTATTTTAAGGCACTTCTTTGGAAGGCACAGAAAATCCTTAGTCTATCACAGAAAAGATGCTAACATTCTCTCAAAACAGCAGAATCGGGTGGGGGATTATCCTCACCTTACGACAATGAACACAAAGCCTTGAGGGGGTGGAGCACTGCCTAAGAAATGTGTCAATAATGCAGTAGTCACCAATTACTCAAAAAAATCTTTTACAAATATTAATAAGACTTAACATGAACATCATGTTTTGATTCTTGTGAACATTTTCTGTAAATTTACTCTAGAACAAACAGTGGTAGAGTGAAGGCAGGGCTCATGCAGCTGAAACCCCAGGACTTTCTGAGCAACAGGAACATCGAAATGATCCCCTCCGCACACTTTCTTGCTGTCTCTGATCTAAGCTGCAATCCTCACAGTAGTCGGAAAAGGAATGGATTTTTTCCAGAATATTGTTGCAAACTATACTCATTGTAATGCAAAGTATTTGAAAGTGGTTTGTTCTTCAATGGGAAATAAAGAGCCATTAGCTTTCCAAACACCTGATCCTCATTTGTTGATATGGATCTATCCAACTGCCAGAATCTTTGGACACTCTGTATGGGGACACTGACTATGAAGATTGTCATTATGAGTGCCTGCTCTTCTAAATTTACCACTACATCTTAAAGCCTATTTTGATGTAGGTGATGTAGTCTGACAATGTCCATGAGGAGTAATCTTGAATCCATTTATCTGTCTACATTGTATGGTTTTAATCAATGTTACTTTAAAAAAAACCCTCAATGTCTGCAGAATGAATATGACAGTTAGAGAGAGAGAGAGAGAGATTGTTTCTGACCTATTTTCTGGGTCTTCTCAGGTACAGCCTGTGGCTCTATAAAGACCTAAGAAATGGCTCCAAAAATAGTAATTTTACCTCCACATCTTTCCAATTATAAAAATAGAAATGGTTATATGAAATGTATTCATTCACTGGCTTTATACTGCACCTTTCTCCAAAAGATGAGACCTGGGGAAGCAGTATTCTTCACACAATGTGTTATCACACCAAACATCCAAAAATAATTTTATCCCAGGGACAATTTTGAGTATATCTGCATGCCACCGTGGTTAAAAAAAAACACCAAATCTAGTATACCCAAGACTGTTAAACAGGAGGGCACTGTTAGCATAACAACCAAACAACAATCCAGCAGAAGTTACTTCGTGTGTGGTTTTTATTGCCAAATCTCTCCCTCTGATTTCCTTCCTCTGATTTTCTTCCTCCCTCCCTCCCTTCCTTTCTCCTTTAGGAAGTCTTGAAAATTTGCAAAAGCAAAGCAAAGTGTACTGCTTATATAGTGTTTAGAGTAGACTATGTCTAGATGGGTGGCATATAAA